AAAAACTGCTAAGAATAGTGGACACTATGGTCGAGGCCGAGTCCGTGAGTTCAAGCGCGCAAAGAGTGTGGAGAAGTTGAGAACAAATCTAACAAATAGACTGATTCTTTTATTGATGTCGGATTACCATTGGCGAAAGAGTCCTGCCTGTTGTCTTGGATGGATATCGTTAGCAAAAACTACCTAGTTACATACTCTTTGTACGTACTACTATCACCTACGGTACGTACCGTTGTAGCTAGTAGTATTAGTCAAGATCTGATGATTTCGGTGGTAGGTCTACATTATTTCGGTATCTCACGAGTACTGATGACTTGACTTCGTATTCCTTTCCCGTATAACAATAGGATAGGAAGATATAGCTTCGAGATGGCTGGGTTATCTACAATGCTTTACTACTGCTCCTGCACATATGTCTTATGCTAACACTGCTGTACTTGCCTATCTATGACCATTCACCCTCATCACCTGGCCGATTGACCGAAGATTAACAGAGTGACTTTGAAAACTATCATGCAACGTCTGTCGTCCACTCCAGATAACGAGGTGACCCGCCACAAGAATTCTAGATGAGCTCTGGCATTTTCTATTTTCTATGTTACCAGAGGTTGTCTTTGAATCTGGGTACGGAAGCATGAACTCTGCCTCCCCGAGTGATATAACATGGGAAGCGACATATTCCCATGTACCTTTAATATTGTTGTCATGTACAATGTACACATACTGCAGAAAGTATCCATGTTTGTAAGATGGGGATACTACAACGGGACGGCAGTGAACACCTGGTGGCATGTGCTGTTCTCAACTGGCCTATCTAGGATGGATGATCTTGCTTCCTCCACCCTCCATCATCAATGCATCGTAGCATCATCCACTCCTTGGCTGATGCTTAAACTCATGATCTTTAGATTTTGACACTTTGAGAAAGCTGCTCAAATCGACTAGTGTAGTATGTACATGATCTAGAGCTACAAGCTTCATCCATGCATCGTTGATCCTCATCATCATCATCTGCATGTCAACGAGCAATGTGCGGAAATACATTTGGAATCCTTTCCAAGTGGGATGAGCGGAGAGAAGTCCGCCAAGGGACCACAACAAACTGACAGGCGCCAGCAAGGCGAAGACGAAAGGATCGAGGTAGGCACACGGTAATCACGATTATGATTCTGACTGACAGCCTTGCTTGCTGTGCGCCATCTTTGAGCATCATCGTCGCATACGCAATGAAAATGGGGCTGAGGTGAAGAATTTTGCACATGTTGCAGGAAGTATCCAGTAGACCAGTACGAATGCGAAAGTATGTACATAAACTTTCTCGAACCCTCAACCCTGAGGTGAGGAATATCCTTGATACTCCAAGATAAGGTAACGGAAGGTCACCATGATCCATTACAAAAGGGCCTCAAGTCCGTGATCTGCACTTGATTAGTTCCCATTTTTAATTCCTCGACCAGCATATTTCGTCAACAATTATACTTTCGAATTGCGTCTTTCTTTCGGGAGGGTTTGCAAAAGAGAGACGGAGGCAAGCTCCAACTTCATGCAAGTGATCGATAGAGAAAATTCTCTCTTCCTAGTACCATCTCCTTGCCGTCATCAAAACAAGGGAGACGAGAGAAATTACAAAAAAGTCCCCAGTGTTTGAACGCTCAAACATGGACAGAATCAGGTGAAGGACCCGAGCACGGCCATTGAGTTCATGCAACTTATCCTAGGTACATTGCATTCTTTCCCGTACAAATACACATCTATGTCGTAGTTTTCCGAGAGTATATAGATGTCCGATGTGAAGGCTCACGGCTCACCCTCTTCATATGTGACTGTACTACCCTGAGAATGTTTCGTACCGTTGCACTCTCGGAAATACTGCAAAGATTGGATCTACATTGGGCAGGTGACTGGATATTAGATGGTGGGGAGTGGCACTATTGTGTGATAGTGGCTTCGACGGACGTTGGACATTGCATGGAAAGGAGTAAATTCCCCGACTCAGTGATACATTTGTTGTGTTGAACGGCCGACCGAATTATACGTGAAAATATGCAAAATTGCGAGGTTGGAAAGCATGAAGAGTTTTTTGCATGCATTATTATTATGGTAGTATCTGCAATAAGCGATCCTCTCACCCAAGAACACGCCAAACGACGAACATGACTTGATAGATCAATGTTGAAATAAGGTAGAAACTAGAAATTATCATGAGACAGCTTGCGTCGTCTTTAGGAGTTGCTAGGTACTTAAAATGAGATGTACATATGTACTTCCGTTCAGAGTTTCAATTGTCCCGGTTTAGGCAATTCATGGCCGGTGGATTTCGATCGTCCAGTCGCTTTTCGGCTCTTACGGACCTAGGTGTACGTGACTGGGTTTGAATTTTGAATTTTGAATTTTGAATGATACATACATGTACCTACCTCGCTAGATACATATCACATATGTATTGCAGATACTTTGCCTACTCCAGACTTCCGCATAAATCTGTGACGATGTACTCCATATCTGCCGACATCACTCCTCCTGTATATGATTGACCACACTAACTTACGATGACTCTTCTCGCTGCTCGTTCCTACTGATCAAGTTCCATATCCAAACATGCCCCTTCATCACGCAGTCCAGACAAACGAAGGTATGGGATTAGAAGCGGATATTTGACCACGACAGAACATGCGACCGACATGAATGGGTGACTTGGCCGTTTGAGAATGGTCCGTTGCAGTACTTCCCCGTATCGGAGATAATGGGAAAACGGGCGGTCCTTATCCACCATCCACCATCCACCATCCACCATCCACCATCCACCATCTATCCATCCACCAACGCACTTCCGAGGTGACTCGCCACGACCACGACGGCCACCATCAAATGAAGGGGTCACTATCAGCCTCATTTTCATATGTACAGTATATCCATTTCTACTTGTGTACGTAGCCACATGTTTGACCAACCGAAGTGGTTAATAATAGATAGAACTGTGTTGTCAACTTGAAGGAAGATGGATGAGTTGATGATTTGATGAGTTGATGAGTTGGATGGATTGAATGAGTCTTCATTCAATTGACTCAATCCAGTTCGTCTCCATACCGTAAAGTGTACACGCTTCCATTCCCTTCTTCTCCTACCGGTACAAAGTACATAACACATAACATAATCATCAACCATGTCGAGATCTTCATCACTGGTCCCCACTTCCGACAATTTTTTCTTCTTCTTCTTCCTATCCTCCAGACCTTCACACAGTGCGCACACAGACATAGCCGGCCATACGTAGGTTCAACCTAATATAAAGCACCAATGATCTCAGCCTTTACAATCATCACATTTCACACTTAACAACTGGTCCTAACCTAACCTATGGCTTTTGACCATGACCATGGCCATCATGACCTTGGTTTTTTGTCTTTAAAGAACTAAACTCCCACACTTTCTCGAAACGATTGAAGCCATCATCTTGTCTTGTATCGTTTCCAATTGCAATTTTCATCGCTTATTATTCATGCTGCGATGAAACCAGCCAACCAAACAACCAACCAGCCATCCAGCCATCCAGCCAACATTTTTCAAAGCACAGTACGCATTCGGGAAAGCCGGACACGACGTCAATGAGTAAGTGATGAGTGAGCAAGAAAAAGTCGGAGTCTCGGCCGATTGAGTCTCTGGAGTCTGGGCACAAGCTGGGTGTGAAGAAGACCTGTGAGATATCTGTGAGGCTTGGTACGTACCGTGCAGGACGAAGTACAGATAATTAACTCAGCTACTCTTACTCTGATACTCTGATTGCTCTACCAGATATCTCTTACTCTACCATACGTATAGAATTACACAATAACTACACCGCACAGCACAGGACAGGACAGGACGGACCGTACTTGACCGTCTTGACCGTCTTGACGGGACAGGATAAACGAACGCGTCCACATTGCTCTAGGGTGGGCGGAAGATGTTGATGGCTTGGAGCGGGGCTTGGAGAGATTTGGCTTAGATGATGAATTAGAAAGTTGGATGGCTTTGAAGAAGAGAAAGAAAGCGACGTATGAAAGCCCTCCAAATTCCCTTTTCGCTCAATACTGCGCCGCATCAGGTATGCTGAAAATGCAAATGATTAGATTGATTGATTGAAGGAGGCTGATTCATTGTCTGTGTCGATTTCCAATGTCAATACGGCTTATTATTATTGTTATTGTTATTATTATCGTTCTTATCATTATTATATTGTCCAACGGATGGATTACTTCTAAAACCTTTCTTATCAACCCTCACTCACTCACACACTCTCTCTATCTAATCCCAAACCCAAAACCCCCAACCCAATCCAACAAATCCAACAATCAATCTTCACTCTCACTTCACTCAAAACACACTACATCATATATACAAACAAACCAAGCAAACCAGACAAACCAAACTTCACTCCAATTTTCAATCCATCTCCTTCTTTCTTTACCTAACCATCTTGAAAAAAAAAAACATACTACAAACATCAACATCAACACCGACACCGACACCGACACCAACTTCCATACCAACAATTCAACTAAAATTCAAGCACATTTAAAGGTATTGGCATTTTATTATCTACATACATACATACATACATACACACACACACACACACACACATATTGGTATAACCAAGAATCAAAGGGGTTATCGTTATCGCAAATCCCTCATCTCGCAACCCGATTCACCGATTACATTCCAATAAATTACCCCATACCGGATTGACACAAAGGGGCGGTCGGCGGTCTGGCTCTGCTTTCTCGTTCTCCTTCTGGTTTTGTATCGTGCATCGATCATTCTTTATTCACTTGATTTGTATTGTACAACATTCATTCTGCAGAGCAGTAATGCAAAGTAGATGATATATAGTGTCTCTGGAAAGGGACTCGAGAGTTGTGTCTCTTTGGATTTTAATTTGTGTTAGTTATTGCTATTGCCTGCTATTTATCGTTGTTTTTGTTATTGCTTTTGTGCTCTCACCGTACCCAATCGAAACAATGTCCAGTTACCATGGAGATCATGGATCTAAATCTAGGTCTAAGGTCAAACCCGTTTTTAAGAAACTGATACAAAGCGAAAAGAATTCACTAGACTTGGATCGGCCAGCGGCGGAACAACAAGATGGCCTCGGGATATTTGATTATGGCGCTGGCTACAGTTCCCGTTCCTCTCACGACATTGCATACAACAGTCGCGAAGGAGGCAGAAGAGGTTTTCATGCTCGTTCAACCAGCGGCACATCTCAATTTTCAATAGCAACAACAGGCAGTGCTCAGCGTTCCGGCTCATTCGTACATCCTTTCCAACAAACCCCGCGACCCTACACTCCTCCTTTAGGTGCCTCCTATCAAAACTCAATTCGCGAAAGTGAAGCAACAAACAGTAGCATTGCACTTACCGAAGATGAGGATCAGTTACGACATACTTTCCGTAGTACAGCCAATTTGTCAAATCAAGCAAATTCAATGACTGGTTCAACAAATCCCATGCTTCAGCAAACCCTAAGAATTCAAACCAAGCTACCTCCGACTTCATCAAGACTTGTTCACGCAGCATCACATACAAGTCCGGTGCTGTCCCCTGAAGTAACCTCACCACTCGACACCATGTCACCCACTTCCCCATCTATCCGACAATCCATGGAAGGATTTCGTCTTCGAAGTCGCAGTGATGTTGATAATCGTCTGCGCTCGGAAACCATACAAGAGGCACGTCGCAAGTTTCAAGAAAAAGAGAGGGCGAAAGAAGAAAAGGCAGCGAGGGAGGAAATTCGAGCAATGGAAAAGAAGCAACAAAAAGAAGCGAGACAGATTGAGAGAGGACATCGCCGTTCTTCTGCCAGCGATAATCTACCTACTCGATCAAAGCGGTCTAAGTCTGATCTTACTATACATGAGAAAAGTGAAGGAATTTTTGGACAAAATTACAATACGGCAACGATTGCTGCCCCTCCCTTTCTCTCCGAGGAACATAGTCGGGGTTCGCCGAACAGAAGTCATACTGCAATGTCAAATACCAAAAAGAAAACACACAATGCTTGGACAAAACTCATGATGTGGTTAAAGACTCGGTTCATGCGACTGGGTAAAAAGTCTAGCAAAAAATAACATATCTTCTGTTATTACTCGAGGGAATAGGGATTCAAATGTGAAGAAATTACCAAACTCTTTCTTGATAACTTACAAGTCTGACACTGGTCTTCTTCACCATCTCTATTCCCCATTTGTCCTCCATGTATTTACTGGTTGACCATCTTCTTACTCTCCTTAAACATGATTTTACGATTTATTTTGTCCTCTGGACAGGCGTTAGGGCAGGTACACTTTATGATTTATACCAGAGGACCAGCATCGAAAAATTCGACAGCTTACATTTTTTCCCATCACATGCGACACATCAGCGAGGCGTTTTTGGAACATTCATTTTTTTACAGTACATCAAAGTACTTCCTTCTGGGAACAGGGCCTCTGGTTAGGGAGAATTTTACATATGGGTGTTTGATAGGATTGGATTTTTCACTCATCGTTTTTCCTTTCATTGCGCGGCCGGAGTTGACTTGCTTTGCTTGTTCTTCGCGTGCATGGAGATGGAGATATAGTTTGGAAGTGAAGTGCCTTCTTGTTGTTTGAAGGGGAGCTGCACCTCATGGGAAGAGAATGTTGTTCTTAGATGGTGGGGATTATTGGGAATTAAAAGATCTGATTTGTTATTTTGCTCGGTGGGGAGAGTTTGCGCATGGCAGTCAGTTACTAGTATGCTTCCATGAAGCTAGCTTTGGATGCGCATTCGATGGGATGGAATAGGATAAGGTGGTTTTTTGAACACAGATAGATTAAGGACAATGGAGAAAATATACTTAAAAATTATTTCTATCTTGCTTGTGTGTTTGTGTGTTTGAGGAGGTAAGAGAGTAAGTAATCTAGATCGTGCTAGAACGGTCGTGTTGTATTGGCTTGTCTTTGACTTTGTGCGTGTACCGCTTGATCTCTACAGAATGAAGGCCGGGGAACCAATGAGAGAGAGTAGAGAGGGGAAAGAAGCTTGTGATAGATATACTTGATAGGGAGCCGGATGGATGGGTAGGTGGAAATTACAAAGTCCTTTTTGATGGGAGGGAGAGGAATAGTGATGTGATTAATAAAGATTTAGATAGTATTTTGTGGGTGTTTCTGATTGTGGATGAATGTAGGTGTTTGATGAAGTATGCTTATGATGAGGTATGCTTATGATGAGGTATGCTTATGATGAGGTATGCTTATGATGAGGTATGCTTATGATGAGGTATGCTTATGATGAGGTATGCTTATGATGAGGTATGCTTATGATGAGGTATGCTTATGATGAGGTATGCTTATGATGAGGTATGCTTATGATGAGGTATGCTTATGATGAGGTATGCTTATGATGAGGTATGCTTATGAACGATAAATGGGTATATGGATAAATTGATAGATAACATGAAATAACTGGGTGTGATTGAGATTGAATGTGTATGTTAGGAAGGATTATATTGGATAAGCCTTAGGAGTTTAGGAATCTGGAAATCTAGGAATCAGGAACTAGGAATTAAAATTGAATTATTTTCTCACTCGAGAGAGAGGGAGAGAGAGATAGTTTATCTATATCTATTCGCAAAAATAAATAAATCCCCTACTATATACCATACTCACATACATAGTATCTCACGTGTAGCATCTTCCCCCCCTTCCCCTTCCCCATCCCCAAAAATCCCGCAAGCCAAAAACTCACGTCCGCACCGTAGCATTCCAAGCCGAGTACCGCACTATCTGTCGAAAATGTCCATACAGTCCAATGCAACTCCCGAGTATGAGATAGAGCGGGTAGAGAAGCGTAAATTTGAGCATCATCTGTTTGCTGACGAATTCGGAGAGGATGAAGTAGGTTATTAGGAGGCTGCCGATTAGGCAGAGAGTTCTGATGAGGGGAGGGGGGTTAGTTTTGTGGTGGGATGGGGAGGAGGAGAGGGGGAGTGGAGGGATTAGGGTGTGGGTGGGAGTGTGTGATGGAAAATGATCACATACCCAATAATAAACAACCATTCCGAAGCCGGAAACTCGAAGAATATTAGATTTTTCAACTGTGTTCCTGTCCGCGGAAACCCGGTGATTAGGAAACTAATCATCAAACACGTATATTGCGACACGAGATAGTAGCTCAATTCCCGGATTAGCAGTAAAGAGAGCAGACCAAAACGCGTGAGCAGATTGCGTTTGGTGTGGTGTGCAGATTTCCGGTATGCGAGGACGCAGTGGCGGGCGCTGGCTTGCGTCCAGCCTTGGGCCCAGCGCAGACGCTGCTTGAGAAAGGAGGAGAAGGTTGTGGGGGCGAGTTCGTAGGAGATGACGTTGGGTTCGTGGATGCAGACGGCGCCTTGGGAGAGGGCGCGGAGAGCGGAGTCGATGTCTTCGGTGAGCATGCTGGCGTCCATTTTGAGATCGCGGAGGAGAGGGGCGCGCCAGTAGCCATTGGAGCCTAGGAAGGGGCGGGTGGGTTAGAAATGTTGAGGATGGATGGGGATAGGTTGGAGTGGAGAGGGGAAGAGAATAGGTTTACCGGTGAATAGACCATAGCCGAATAAGGCAGCGCGCCCAGGATGGGATGTAGCATAGATCTTGTCGAATTCTACTGCGATCATACCAGTTAAGAATGTTGCTTTGGAATTCTGAATCACACATCGTCCTTGCACGCAATCGATTTCATCGTCGGCGAGAAATCTCTCGATTGCCCATCGTGGCCCATACGGATGGGTATAGTGATCACAGTCGAACAATGCAATGATTTGTGCTCCAGTATATAAGGTAAAGAAGTAATTAAGATTATGTGCTTTGGAAGTGGAGTCCGGCACTTTGATTATTCTCAATCGGGGAATTTTTGCAGCGAGCTCATTCATTTTGGATTCGAGCGGCTCGATAGGTTTGGGTGTATTGTATAATACATTGATCCGGATCTTATCTTGGGGGTAAGCAATATGGTCTAAAGCGTAATGAATTCTATCCATGATAATATCTTGCTCGTTGGGGAGATATGCGACGATAACAAGATCCAATATCAAGAGCTGATCATCGGGAGTGGGAAATTTCCAGCCATTTTGCTCCACGTTGCAAAGTGCTTTTCTTGCGATTCTGTTGGGCTTGAGACTGCAGATGGCTTCCATAACATTCATAGCTGCTGTGTAGGAATTCGAAGAAAGATAGATGAGCCAGAAGATCTCTATCAACTTTGGTGTGCAAAACATGTAAAGGCATGTTGAGAAAATAAAATAGGAGATGGTTAGGAGGAATGGGGTCCAGTCCAGTAAGAAAGCTGAAGCTCTAGAAACATGATAACACAGAGCAACAGGTTTTGAAGGGACAGATAGTTTCGACATTCTGAGAGGAAACGAGAATGAAAGTATAAGATTCTCTCTAAAGGAATGACTACAAAAGAGGGATATTTACAGGAGTAGAATGATAAAAACAGACAGCAACACTCTCCACCTCTTCGTGGTTCGTATGAGATTCAGGATCGTGATTGAGATCCATTTCGATGTACTCTTGGTATTATCCATGAATAGTATCATACCCAAGCTGATCAAACTATTGAAAGCAGGTGGCTCCGTTGGCAATATCACTTAGCACATCTGGCAACGAGATGTTCGAGATGAGAAGATCAAGAATGTGATATGTTAATTTTATATAGAAACCTGTGTCTTGAAATACAGTATTGAGGCTTGTAGATGTTCCAAATTCTTGATCAATGTTTCCTCTCTTTGAGATGCATTCTGTCACCAAGTCTCGTTCTTTCGTTACCTACATAAAGCAACGAGCAGCCTGGGAGGCGTTTATGTCGAATTTTTCAAGCCATTCGGTGAACGTATACTGAAAGTATTTTTGACAAGTAAATTTCAATGTTGTTATGCAGATCAATAACAAATAAGATATGTTGTCGTTGGATACCTGAAGCTCGAGAAAAAAAGGACTCATGAATCTAAATATATCGCTGGAAAGACCCGTCGGGAGCTAAAAAGCCACTGAATGAGCCACTGAAGCCACCCTGAATCTTTGGGCACGTGCGGGGCTGTAATCTTCTGATGAGATTTTCCTCAACCACTTGTGAAGCATGCGCAATTCACAACATATGCTTATACTGGCTGAGATATCTAGAATTTACATTTGGTCTGAGACTCAACTGTCTCGAAAAGTAAATTTTGATAAGACACCATGAATTATGGTTGTCGGCCTCAGCATGGAGAAGGATCTGGGCACCTGAAATTTGATATTCATGGCAGTCCATGAATGTGCAATTTAAGATTTATGTTATGGTAACATTGTGACGATATGAAGCAATGATGGATGCGAGCTCGAATAATTCCTCTCCTCTCATTGCTTGCTGTTCTTGTCGTTGATCATGTATACCCTTTCTATTCCGTCTTTACTCTTCACAGTTGCAACCTGTGTCTATGCCCAATCTTCTTCTTCTACCCCTACGATTGCCCCGAGTGATGATTGCTCTTGTGGATATTATGATATAGTGACTGGAAACCTCTTTACGGAATCCCTGATTACTTATTTCAATGAGACCGATACTCTTTCGGACGAGTTTATACTTCAGTCCTACGAAAACAAGTACGAGAAGGATTACAACAGCATATTTCGACAAGGTTCTAATCCTGTGAACATCAATATTCTCAACATTTCATCAGTTGTATCCAACAACCATGGTTCTACATCTCAAGTTCTGTCTAAACCACGTTCTTCACGAGATACTTCGTCAAACTCTACTCGTGGGGCCAGCCCGACAACAACCAGTGGAGAGGGTGGCGACTCTTCAATTGCCAATGATACAGCTTCACTGTTCTCTCCATCTGGTAGATCCTTCACTTCGTCCCTAAAACTGTCTGTCGACCCACCAGATAAGGATCACTTAGTCACTGGTGGTGGTATCAAGACTGTGAGACAGGATATTCAATATGGTTCCGCACGGGCATATCTTCGTCCCTCAAGTCAGGGAGTTGGAGGAACTTCGCTCTCGATGATGTTCCGCTACAACGAATCAGAATCTATGGAAATGAATATCATGAATACCAACCAAAATTCAACTGCTTGGGTTACGAGTTTGATTCATTCGGAATTTCCAAATCCATCGTTGGGCACAAACTTCAGTATTTTTGCCGAGAAGAATATCTCTCTATATGATTACAACGAATTTCGACTGGATTGGACAAATAACGAAGTTCATTGGTACATTGGAAACGTTCTTGTCCGATCAATTTTCAAGGAGAATGGCTCTGTGCCATCTACTCCCTCCCCATTCTTTATCAAGCATTGGTCTACAGGAAATCCATATTCTATGCAAGGTCCACCCATCTCTATCTCCGATGCGAACATTGGGTGGGTTCGACTATTCTTCAATTCTTCATTAATGAATTCTACGCATCATGCAAATTTTAATGCGCGATGCAATCTCAAAGTCGCATGTTCAATGGATAACACTACTTTACGCGGCTCCTCGCCCTTCTCATCAGCCGCTCTAAGTCCTTGGGAACACCGTGTTGCTCGTGGTACACTTCGATGGGTAGCGATTTGGTTCAGCGTTGGCTGTATGTCCGCAACTTTGACAGCTTTAGCGAACGCTTTCCTTAGGCTCAAAGTCTTCAAGAAAGCAGAAGAAAAGCCCTCAAATCCTACGGAGGATAATACTAGTGTGAAGAGCCCACCTTCCCCGCCCTACGCCTATTCTAGAAATGCAAGCTTGACACCGGCCCCATCCTATCGGACAAGGATCGAATCCTATAATTCAGGGACATCGACTTTAGTGTCTTCATTCAATTTCTCGACCGCAAGTCATTCAGGTGAACGAGGCTTAAGTGGTATTGGGTCTATTGATCAAATATACAGCAAAGTCGATCACGAGTGGAATATTCGGAGCAGTAGTTCAGGCGACAACAGTGACAACGCAATGTCTATCAACGAGTTACCTCCTAGCTTATCCCCCTCATTGCCAAACTCGCCAAATTCTAGTCGATTTGATATTGATATTAAAGACAAGTCTAAACGAGTCTCGGGGCTTAACAACACTACCGCTGCGGATACACTAGATCATATAACTCTCGATATTGAATCCAACGCTATAATTCAGCGGCACCAGACAGATAGCCAATCTCGCCTAGATGGGAAGGATATCACAAATAAATTCCCCACATCGGCATTCTCAACACATGAAAGTGCATCTCCAATTGAAACAAGCCAAAGAGTCGACCACTTAGCAGGACTCATCACCATTGCAGCGATAAATGTAACTGTTCTTCATTTTTGCTTGACTTTCGTACCGGCCGTCATTGCCCCTGGTGCTTTTGCCCACTATTCCGCCGAAATATGGATCAACAAAACTATTGTACCTTTCTTTCTCAATCAAGGAGCCCTTGGTCTTTTCTTCACCACCTCTGCACGATTCCTCGTTACTCCTTTTCTGCGCGATGGAGACCTCTCTTCTATATCTTCGAAGATAGTCACTCGGGTCTTCCAAATCATGTTACCGGTTCTTACATTCGTCCTTCTAGAATACTTTCTCATTCTCTCAGGAGCAACTTACTATCTTCCTTTCTTGCCATCGATTACCTGGAGTACCTGGCCTTATGTGATTCCATTTCCTCATATCGGATATCTTCTCAATGAAGTCATCGCACTTGCTTATACAATCCCGAACGCAGTCCCTCTCATAACTTTCAACTACTGCACTGGCGTTCTCTGGACTATTCCCGTAATCATCCAAGGATCGTGGACTACACTTCTTGCAATTCTTCTTATAACCTCTGTTCCGAACCCGAAGAAACGTTTCCCCTTCTATGTGTTCTCGCTATTGATCAATTGGTACTCGCTCTCCTGGTCTTCGTTCTTCTGGGTCGGCATTCTACTTACCGATCTCGAAATTACATACCACATGCCAAGATACCTGCACAAACATCCTCTAATCTATTACCCTCTGAGTTTGATCCTGACGATTCTCGCTCTTCTAGCTCTTAGTGCAGATACCTTCAACCAATGGCTCAATTACAGCATCATAGCTAAAGAAACACTCATTCATCCCGACCCGAGCACGGGTCTTCCAGCTACTATCACTCACAACTCCGGATATCCTGGTTATCCGGGCTACTGGGTTCCTCATTTCAACGGTCTCATATTCTGTACCGCCATCCAATGCCTTGCAACGATATCTCCCTTAGTCCAGTCATTTCTTTCTGCAAAACACCTCATGCTATTATTCCCACATGTTTTCAGCATGTATCTGTTCCATGGTATGATCTTCTGGTCTCTTGGTGCTTGGGTCTGTCTTACTCTTAACAACATCTTACCGTACTGGGCAGTGTTAATTGTAACTGCCGTCGTATGTTACACAGTCTTGTTTTTATCATTGCCTATGTTATCGTTAATAGCGGGATTATTTGGAAAAGGACTAGCGGGCGATATCAAGAGGGACTCTCGAGAAGAGCCATTGAAGGGGCAGTCAACGTTAACACCGTTTGGAAGAGATTGGTTGAATCGGAATGGGATGATTGACGGTATTCCTGTAGTTGGTGGTGAGGCATCGACTGAAGATAAAAAGGTTGAAAGAATAGATACAGGGCAGAAGAAAATGACTCAAGTGGAGATCCGGGTTATCGAGTGCGGCGAGGAAGTTGGTGGAGATTGTAATGTTCGTTCCGCCAACAAGGTGGACAGGCTTGGCTCTGCCGATGGCGAAGCGGGTGATCAAATCAGTAAGGCTTGAGGTGTGAATAGAGAGCTGGGAGTTGCTTGGTAGTGGGGATGTATTCTATAAGGCACCATTTTTACACAAACTATATAATACTTCTGTTATGAAAAATCAATTTCTTTTCAACATCATCAGTGCTACCCATTAAACAGCCCTTGTTAACATTCATTGAACCCGATGCTACCATTCAAAACATAATGTTTCCCCAATGATAGCAGATTTGATATTAGCTACTGTCTTAATTTTCATAGTCTTGATGTGGTGGAAATCTGGATTCCATCAACCTACTGAGTTCTGACACGATCTTTAGAACCCATTACTACTGCAATTATTAACCCCTATTTGTTACCCGAGACAAATCGCTTGTCAAGTCTCAAAAACATCTTTATTTACATGAGACATGACAGCTGAACTTGAAGGTGGAGGATAATCCAAGCAGTAGTTTCAATAGTCTGCACAGCAGAGTAGACCTAGAATATTGGCTATGAGTAAGCATCCCGCCTTGACCCAAGTAGAATACCTATCTGAAGTGTCTTTGACAAACTCTCTTTCTAACTAGCATTGAGTTGTATGCCTCTTCAATTCTTTGAATCGTCATTTATAGCCAACAAGATTCAAGGAGTTGGCGATTACCGCGACCACCATGAAGTCATTCGCACAACCGCCACCTCATGATACTGCACAATCTACCTATCTTCTAGGCCTACGCGGTTTTCTCATTTTGCAAACTTTCCTCTGGATATTCCTACAAACGTTTGTTCCAGCTACAGTCAAAAGTAATATCATTACTTTTCCTACAGACACTCCGACTTATCAGGACCTCATTCGCAAGATCCTATCACCGATATTCTGGAATGAATCGCTTATTTATTCATCTTTTGTTTTCTTGTCCGCAAGAGTTCTATGCACCTCTTTTATCAGTTCGCCAAGTAAACAAATAATTACATCTTCAATATTCCGAAGATCGTTCCGCCTCATAATTCCAACAATCTTCTCACTTTCTCTCGTTACACTCCTTTCGCAGACCACCTCCACTAATCATCTCGCCTCTCTCTTCATTATCAAAACTAAAAACTCCAGCATTCAAGCTCCCTACACTCTTCGCTCCCCTATCCCCCTTACCCTCTTCAACTCCCTCTTCACCCTCTTCCTCTCTACTTCCCACACACCCTTACACAACTTATCCGCCGTCCTCGCTTTTCCATCCGGGACCCTAACAATTCTCCCCATCCTCTACTCCCAATCCTACACCCTCTACATCACCACTCTCATAATCCCCTACACTCGACCCCTCTGGCGCCTCAAATACTCGCCCCTCTTTCTTTTCACCGCCTATTGGGTATCCTCCTATTCCTTCATATCCATCAGCGGCCTCCTTCTAACCGACTTTCTCCTTCTGCCCAATTCTCCTCTTCTCACAATTTCTGCAACTGGATTTCCATTACCAAAACGGATCACCAAGAAAAGAATTCCGTCTTGGATACCTTATACATTTATCTTTTTGGTCGGCATTGGACTTCAATATTTCTACACAACTTCAGACACAGCAGTAGAAACAGCAAATGCGGAACTGAAAGCTCATACGGATATTTATGGTTCTTCTGGTGGACTCAACACCACCCCGGATTTGAAGGAACAAACGCCTAGAATTGCGGATTGGTTGGTTTTATGCGGTGGATTTCTGTTGTTGGAGACGAGAACGTCGGTGCAAAATTTATTCAAGAATACTGTGCTGGTTTCCCTGGGGAGGAGAAGTTTGAGTAAGTTAATGTTGTATTGTATTTGTATTCAAAAGTTGTAGACTGATTGATATGTGTTGTTTAGGTTACTTCTTGACGCAATCGATTGTCATATACTCAGCAGTTATTCCTTTATATCTTCATCTTGTCATGGATACGGATGTATCGGACATAGCGGCGACTTGTATTTGTTTTGTTATTTCAATTTTGGGGACTTTGGTGTGTGGTGAGATTTTTTATAGGATGGTAGAGATTCCGAGTTTGTGGGTGGGTGTGTGGAGCTGGGATTGGTTTAGGAGATGAGGAGATTGGGTGGCAGGTTGGTAGAAGTAGTAATGTGCTGATGGATAATTAATTTGGTTTGCAATTATTGTAGAAAAAGATGACGTCGAATTTTTGACTCTGGTTGGTTTATTGTATTTATATGAAATTGTTGGGTTTAATATTCATTATGTATATTATTGGCATAATTCTTAGACTCTCATACCTCACCTTGATGATTTCAGTATGCAAGATGAATATAGATTCAGATTTGAATTACAAACAGCAGCATCGCCGATCATACTTGCCATGTTTACGCAATAGAAAGAATTGGAATAGAGGCAAACAGAGAAACAACTTCAAGGTGTTAGATACATTATGGTGTATTAACCAATTCCAAGATTGATCAATAAACTCGATTTCGTATAAACTGGGACGTAGGGAAATAGGGAGAAAATGAAGACATTCGCAAATGAATTAATTTCATATAAAAGTAAACCTCTGAACGAACCAGACAATTGACTAACACACTGAAATATATATATCAATTCAATCTCTCAGCTTGCTGTCGCCTACCTCTAGAATAAGCGAAAGGTTTTTAAATCTTATCGTTACTCCTATATTCTAGACCCTAGCGAAAAGATTATAATATTGAGGGTTTTGCGGAAATTCTAGGATAACGCGTTAGGGGTATGCTTTTTCTACGTTAGATCGAAACATTAATTATATGATTGTATAGAAGAATTGTATGGTAATGTGAAGAGATGGAAGAGATTATATGATATGAAGTAGAGCAATAATATGAATCGAAAAAATGATATAAATAAGAACAACGAAATGAAACGGGACGATCATCGGATTTCATAGACTTCAAAGGACAACAGACTGTAATTTGACGATACTAATAATACCTAGGTGCTTTTTTCTCACTTTGACTGAAAACTTCACGGAAACAGATTTCACTTATGAACATGATAGTTTGTATGTATATTAATGTATTAGTTCAATGGATATGAAATGTACAAATATCATAATCTCGCTAAGTTATGATGTTGTACATTGTGATATATCCAGAAAAGAAACAAGACTCCCTCAGGCAAACCAGAAACTCCTCCCCAAAAAAACTCCTTCCCAAAAAACTCCCTCCCTAAAAAACTCCCCCCCAAAGCTCTGTCCTATGACTCCGTGCAGTCATAGACAAGATTCCCCGCCGAACCAAACTACTCGATTCAAAATGGATGATTATTAAAGATCATACATATCGTCGTAGTCGTAGTCGTTGAATTGGGCTCTTGGCGCAAACCTAAGAGTCTTCGAGTTGTCCAGCACCATCTCCTTTCCAGATTCCGAGACTGTGAGAATGTCCGGGAGCTTCTTAGCCATGACCCAAAGGGTCCAGGCGGCATCGTTACCGGCATTGTGCTGCCAGCCGGTTTCAATGGAACTGTCGTAACCCAGCACCAGATTTATCAAGCTTCTGCCTTGCTTGCTTCCTGGTGGAAGGTGTATGGCCTGGGTGTCCACAGCCTCCGGGAAAAGGGCGTCGAAGGCGGTAATTCCTCCCATTCCCAAGATCTTGAGATCATTTTGGATGGCATGACCAACCAAAACTACCTCGCCGTGTCGACGCTCATCTTCAATGAGCTTTGTGAGGAGGGTATTTGCTCTAGCGAGCGGGACAATCTCAGTCTTTCCGTACAGGAATTCGACTTTTTCGCCCGCCTTGAGCTTTCCGATTCTGGTTCTGTACTTGGCGAACTCCTTGAATTTGAGGTGGCGGTAGGTGGTGCCAGCCGGGGAGTTGGGATCGCTTGCAAAGAGAGCCGCATTGTTGCCATAGGCTCGGAGAATGGAAATGCCAATTTGGGTTGGCGTACCTCGGGTATAGGTCTTGTTGTTGGCAAAGCACGTGTAGTCGTGCGTATTTGCCTCGAGGTCAATTGCAATGAAGACATATGGTTTGGCCGGTACCATGTCACTTACCTCATTGATAGAGGTGGATGCAAGGTTCTTCGACAGTTCATCGACAACAACGGATGGAGTCTCCGGGGCCGACGAAGGAGTCGTGGTAGGAGAGGAGGTAGCAGAAGTGAAGCTATCGGTAGAGGAGTCAAACATGGACTCGGTAGGGGAGGAAGAGGAGAGTACTGAGGCGGAGGCGAGGGCTGCAGTAGCAGCTTCTGCGGCACGACGACGACGTTGACCGGCACCCATCTTTCTGGTAGATGTGGCAAAGTAAGGTTCTAAAAAGTTTAGATATAAGAGGTGTGATCTTTAGCTAGAAGATCAGGGCAATCAGAAGATACTGGATACGAATAAATGAGTTTGGTAGAAGGTGGTAGATGTTGTAAATGTTGGAGATATTCGAAGATTGACTGTTAAGCTGGAGAAAGAAAAAAAGAAGGGGAAACTTGGGAAAGATGAACTCTTTTATTAGAACGAGAATTAGAATTTGGGCCAGCGTACAGTGTGTAAGGCTAAGCGACAATGAAGACTTTTCTGCTGTATGACGCCGTGAATCACAAGCAGCCGTGCTAGACAGACGCTAGAATGAACCAAGATCTATCGAAGACGAGCTCATAGGTTGAATATTGGTACTAGATCAAGATGGTACGGACTAGTCTTGGTAGTTGCTGAGTAGTGTGGGGTATGGGGTACATATGAGGTATGATGTTGGCGTTTGGAGGTTCATTCGTATCGAGGGTACTGTATTAGAATGTTACGGCTATCGTTATATACAACTCGCTCCAACTTGTGTCTCTGAATGCAATTGATTAATCTTTGAGTCAATTAAAATATCACAATCACTGTTCAGAAAAAATTTCAATGCATAGCATTGAGTTACATCCAAAGATTCACTTTTTCAATTTTTGTGCAATTTTTGTGCGTCAAATTTGAACCACAGTAAAAACCGTTACAAGCGCCATATGGGGCGAAATTAGAATTACTAGCTTGCCCCTTAAATTAGCCCCAACTTTGACAGCTTGTTGTTCAACTGCTTGACTTTATCAATACTACACGATTGAATATTGTTGAGATGATTCATTATTTTCCGGCTGGACAGCTTCTTCTGTCTACCGAGTGTATGTGGCTTGATTTCTCACGAATAGAGAATAATCCTAGAAACATGATTTCCCGTAGGTTCTTGAAGAATAGAACTGTATAAGTACCAAGCTGTGGTAATGGGGACTTTGTTATAGTTCTCCTACTTGATTGGCAAATACGTCAGGTTTGGGATAGAAGTGCCTATGACGATAGGTACAGAAAAGCTTTTTCTCCTAATTTAGCGATCTGTGGCTCTAGTGTAAAATTTTAGCCTGTCCAATTATGAGTCACATGGCTTCTGGTCCAGAACGCCACGAGTGGCTTCGACTTTCGACTTTTCATCCAACATAAAAGCCTCCATGTGGTAAGAAAGCACTTTTCATGAATGTCAAATCATGCGGCGATCGAGATTGCAGTAGACAGATCCTCCAACCACCAGGAAAGTTCAATCTGCACTACTGAGCATCCGGAGAAGAACATAATCATGCCTGTATATCATAAGTTATTCACGAAATGGAAATCTATACAGAGCCGAACACGTTGCGTTTGATCATGATCCTGGAAGGAGAAACCACTTCGGATATTGAAGCTATATTGTATAATCTATTCTTGAACTTATGTTCTAGGACTTGCTCTCGGAAATCTAACTTGAATTTCTAAGTTCACCGCAAAAATCATGACTGAAGCAATCGGAATACACTTTGGGGCCCGTTTCCCCCGAAAATGAATGCAGTTTTTTTCTTTCTCTGATTTCAGCCTTAGAATCGTGTAGTTTGATGGGAAAATCTTTAGAACGAAGAAAAGAAGAGCATTTGAAGAGCATGAAGCTTGGTAAGCTAGCCGAGATCATTGGGGATTTTAAAGTCATGGTGAGGCACCAAACTTAGAGAACCGCCATGCTATAAAGGATACTTGTGTAGAGTTATTTGTATTAGGTAGAAGGGAATTAGATTAATTAGACAGAAATAATCCTATGTATCTCTTTCAATTTGAGATTACATCATCCGAGTGACTCTATGCAATCGGACTCTCCCGTGTTAGTATGTCCTTTCCTAGAAACTGAATCCCAAAGGTTTCTGATGACCATCAAGGGTGATACATCCATTCCCTTTCATTAAATACGATTTCAAATTCGACATTATCGAATGTTCCTACAGCGGCATATAAATCATGCATACCTTCCAATCCTGTGACGGGGAGATCTTCTACAGAATCACCCTCTTCATGAAGATTCCATCCGCCATCTTTTTTACCATCTCTGGTAAAGAAAATCTCAACATTAATAGGAGTTTGGGCCGTGGTCTGCGCTGGTCCAGAATCGTAAGCAGGAGGATTGTTAACATTCCGTGGAGTGAAAGTCATTCCGATCCCGAGTGTCTGACCGGCTTGGAATTTATTTGTAAAGTCCTTACCACCCCAGAGATCATTGATATATTTATGACCATCGTCCCCGTGAACGCCTAATGCTCCTCGATGCCATCCAGGCAATCTGAAGGTTGGGTATGGTTGCGCAACAAATCCTAATCCCAAAGTAATCTCTCCGCGATATCTATTCGATATTTTGACCTCAAAGTATATTGTCTTGCCTATTTCAGTTCGTAAAGGTGAATGCGCGTATACGGAGTATAGCGGAAGTGTAGAAATGATGCATGAATCCTTGCTGTTGGACTTTGTCTTTCCCGCCCAAACACCCTGTCGTAGACGCGAAAGATCACCATTGTAAGATCTTGGCTTAATGACACCAATGTTTGCAGCATCAAGTGCTTCTAGAGCTGCTTGTGGGAACTCTACAGGTGGTGTCAAAGGATTCTGTTCACACCATGCTTTCCCTTGTAATGCTTCTTCTTCGGTGGCGTTGTTTGCATCGCTTCGCTGATAACCCATAGATGGGGGAGGGGGTAGAAGAGATGTGTCGGGAACTGCGGTCTGCCAGTCATGATATGGTGCTTGAGCTTGCGACGGTGGTGGGCCCGAAGGAGGGGTATATTCGTGCGAAGGTGGGGGACCAGGTGGGGGTGCATATTGATCATTATAGGGCGCATGTTGTTCTGAAGGAGGTGGTCCCGCTGGGGGAGAATAAGATTCACTCTGCGGCATTTTCATTGAACCTTTACTTTGAGGTATCGTGTTGACTGGTCGTGAATTGAGGTTCTCGTTGTCAAATCCCGTTGGTGCGTCGCCCTTCAATTTGCTTCCGAAACACATATTCAAAAGGGTTATGGAGGTTGTTGTAATTGAAGAACCAAATAGTGATTATAAGCATGAAAATGTTGATTCATGATTCAAATCATGGCTGTGTTGAAATGGGCTGTGCAATTAAGTATGAAGTCATACGAATGCCTAGCTGTGCGTCTCCAGCGCGCCTAGTAAGCGCGGCCACGCCTTCCACAACTTCATCGCCTCGACAAAAATTATCAAAACATTCAAAATGAGCCGGCAGTTTAATTTCCTCATAGTTGCAGGTTACTAATGTTTAAAAGACCCGCAATTCATTCGGAAGATTCCTCTTTCGTGGGGAATTCGAAATCGGTACGTTCCGAACATTTTTGCGTCAAAGGAGATAGATAACATCCTTTGACCACTCAAATCCATGAGCTCACAAGCTCTGGTGCCTTAGTTGACAATGACCTATCTATGGATTCGATTGACCAATGAGATTGCTGATTCCGGGAGGTAAATTGCTTTATTGCTGGGCAACTTCCGCTGAAAGAGACTTTTCTGTGGACGCAATGTCTTTTACTATTATACATTTTGCTTATATACACAAACTGTCACTCCCATCAGAAATTTCTGTGCTCGTCAAAACATGAGCTATGTCGTCACATCGCTCTGCTTCGTTCAGAATATCAGTTCATGTTAGTATACATCAATACAATTTGTATAATAGCAAGGCTTACGATACATACCTTAGTATCCGGAGTGTGATGATTCGGAATACCCCACGTTCCAACAGCTTTTGCATAACCAAGATGCTGCTGTAGACCTCATAGCTAAAAAGGCCGCGTCTTTGCTATGGATTGGGCCACCAAAGGGGGGCTTCATCATTAATGAGAATGGATATTCTCGTCCCTATACAAATGCCACAATTTTTGCCCAAGCAGATGCATTTGGGAAAGCTACCGTTGCTTATGAGGTGCATGGAGATATTCTCAAGAAGTATATCGCCTTGGGTGGGGATCGAAGTAAGCTGGGAAGTCCAGTCACAGACGAGTTATGGACTTCGGACCGTGGTTGCCGTTTCAATAACTTCACTTCAGGTGCTATTTATTGCAATTCTAAGATTGGCACTTGCGTAGTGAAAGATGAGATTTATAAGAAGTGGATGGATATGGATGGGGCTGAAGGGGTAATGGGGTATCCAGTTTCTGACGTGAGTATTAGAGATGCCCTGTCTTGACGCGTTTCGACGACAACTTCTAATATTATATACAATTTGTCGCTTTTCTTTCACTCTTCGATGCTGAATAGGCACTAATTTTCATATGTGAAGGAAACATTGACGCCCGGCGGAGTGACTCGATTCAATATGTTCTCACACGGTGGAGCTATCTATTACACTGTAACTCGCGGGGCATTCTGGATTTATGGAGACATCTACAAGAAGTGGATGGCTACAGGTGGCGAGTTGGGGGATCTGGGCTATCCTGTATCAGACGAGGAATTGGCGCCCGACGGAGTGTGTCGTTTCAACAGATTCTCTGGCGGTGGCGCGATATTCTCAACCCCAGAAGTAAGCAAGTTTGATACTTTGGCTTTGCACTTCCCAGTTCCGACTTTCAAAATTTAATTATGTCCTACTTGTTGATCAACGTGATTTAAACCCCTCATCTTTGTTATCTGGCGAGCGGTTACTAATCCCAACTTCCAGCGTGGTGCGGTTAAGGTAGCTGGGAATATTTACAAAAGATGGATGGCGCTTGGCGGAGGAAGTGGGTATTTGGGCTCACCCATCACCGATGAGATTGTCGGCAAATATGATACTCGTTATAACGACTTCTCTGGTGGTTCAATATGGTGGCATCCCTCCATTGGCACCCGAGAGTTTGCTGGAAAAGAAACAAATTATAACATCAACATTACCGACATTTTGATCGACGAGCTTCGCTCTGCGCGTGTAGATACTCTTTATATTACAGCTTCCATCGCTACAGTATCTGGAGGGGTGCAATCTATTGCTCTTCCGCTTGGTGAGCACTCAGTTGGCTTCGTATATCCCGGCTTAACGTTCCAGAATTGTTCAATTGGTGATGAAGAGACAGTCACATTTACATACCTCGTCGTCCACAACCATTCTAATAAACGAGAGGACGTTCTCAAAAAACTCGAGGTCGCCATACATAAACTTGGAACAGCTGCCATAGAAGAGAATGTAATTTCTCTGAATTCAATGCGCAAGCTATCGATTGGAGACGCTATCGGCACAGCTATAGGCAGAGCTCCTGTGCCTCTGAGTGAGCCAGCTGTTCGCCCATTTGAGGGATGGGCCGATAGTGGTGGTCTAGGGATGCCATTTCTGAACTGTGACGGCGTTGTTGCTGCGGAGGTCACAACGCTGAAGGGTAGCGATATCAAGGCACATTTAATCGTGGGAAACACATGGAAAGTTAACGATAAGCATGTGGGCACAAAAGCGCCTGATTGGTGTGGCTCAATTTCACGATACCATGTGTTATGGAATGTGGAATTTTCATGAATTTACTTGTTGCATAACGTTGATATATCTTGCAAGTTGCTTGGTAGTATATAACTTTTTTGATCATCTAGGGGTTTTGATCTAAATCTGTCTTTCTTTCAGCAAGGTAGCGAAACTATGAGATGAATTTAATCATGATTTATTGTCCCTTTTGACAAACGCTTGCAAGGTCTGAATTTTTGAGATTGAAGAACGACTCATGCAGCACAATGGCTGATGGGTTCCAATGATGGAATGGCATTAAAATCGCTGCTATTATCGGATGGTGACGATGAATGTGTTCGACTGAATACAACAAACCACTATTGCATGAGATTGAATATCGATCGTGTTTAATTTATTGACTAGGTACTTAGGGTTATTCGACTGATACATACTAGGTGCCAGCTTATCGTATGCAAGATACTGAAAATTCAATATCTTGTAAAACAATCGAAGTCGTCTGATGTCTTTTGCTTGAAGTCTCGAGGCGAGGGCAGTGAAGAGTCAAAGTCTGGGGCGCTCGGATCAACTAACTTTACCCCCATGTTCCTAGGTAGTTTCGGGTATTCTCTAACCTCATCTTCACTAACAACAACGGCCAACAGGATTCCGAAGAGAATTGTTACAAACTTCAACTCTCATGCATTGAGATGATAACAGAGAGCTATATACCTATATTTGCGCCGCTTATAATAGGATCCGATAAGAAGACGAGTCTGCGAAAGGCCAGTGAAATCTCAAGTATGGTTCCCACTTATTACTTTGTCCAGCTTCATTGTTCTGCCACATTAATTACCCTCCCGCACCATCGCGATCTGAATATCACAGAGGCTGAATGAGACGGCGAGATGTACTTTGTCAATTCATGGAAGGATATGAGCTCTCCATGTCGACAGAAAGGCATGAGACACAATCTCAAGGCTTAACATCAAGAGTATGAAGAGATGGAATTAACATTATGGAGCTAATGGAGCTCTAAACTTCTTTCCCGCAATCACCCTCTGCCGTTAGAATCTTACCAGTGATGGAATGTTCGACTTCATAAATCAAGGAAGGAACCGAAATATATATGGGCTCATGTATCGTCATTTCGGGTTTTACCAATTTTTGGCATCACTGAAAGATGTCATCGGACTTAAATTGATATCAGGGTGGGTCATTGCAGTACAAATCCTTTGTTCCAATTTTCGTTTGATCTGATCTTTCATCATGCTCTCTCCACATCTGATCATATCGTACTATCATCCAAAGTCTTGTCAATGGAACATTCTTTTAAGACGAGGAACTTAATTCTCATTCAATTGTATTAAGTTGGATAAATTTCTTTTACCTTTAGCTAGGTACCCAGCACTTGAGTTGAGTTATCCTGGGTGTAAAAAAATACCGAGTCCAAATGTACCACTTTGCGTTGGGCGGGCAAGTTAAAAAATATCTTGGACTGGGAAATATTCTAGAGGACAGAGCAGGCAAACTTTTCATGCATCTTACAAAAGCTACGAGGTTGTGAGAAATCTGGAGTTTCGATATCAAAGTTGAGACAGAGAATTACTTCAGACGTGGGGTCTATCAATGCAAAATACTGGATGTGTTTCATATTGCTCCACAGAACACCGCTTTCGGGGTCGAGACGTGAGTGAACAAGATGTCTGTGCTCGGTGATATAGATTAGGCGCAGTATAGTATAGGGGATTTATGCAATCTTTGGTTACCTAGATATTATAAGAGTTCTAGCCCCTGCTCAACATATATATAACGCTTTTCTAGCTAAAATACAAGATTATTCATTTTTTCATATTTTAATTATTTATTATAATAAAAGATAAAATTAAGAATTATATTATAAAAGATTTAGAATTATTAAAAGTATTCAAATAATACTTTATTTTTAAATATTTTTATAATAATGATTTTAAAAAATTAAAATTGAAAATTCAAAAAAGTTTGAAAAATTCGTTTATTTTGTATAAAAAAAGTATTACAAGTTAAAAAAAATCAATTTTTTCAATTTCAAATTTATGTAGTTTTTCTAACAAAAATATTAAAAAATAAACTATTCATTTTTTAATTAATTTATAATATAATTTATATATGATTCAATTTTCAAAATAAATTTTTTTAAATTGAAAATGCTATTAATTTTTTTAATTTGTATAGAAAAACGCTATTTTTGCAGGGATTTTATCACAAAACGTTACAGTATGCGGTGAGCAGGGGCCAGAACTCTTACAATAGATACCATGGTTCGTAGCCTTTTTCAAGGTCCTTCGACAGTGGCCCCTGATTGAGCCGAATTTGCCAAGTCATAATATGGGAACATCCAGAACTCCTTGTCGTGAAAATTCCTTATCGTGAAATCTTTGAAAGTTCTCTCGCATCTTTTTGATATCACCGCCGGTCGTGTTAGATATCGATATCAATCTTGTATTGTCTTTTCTTGTTTGAGGATCTATACGCTGGAACTTACAGCACATATTATCACGACACCTACATTCATGCCTTTTTAATAATTAATACATCAACGCTTTTTAACGAATACTTACTTTACTTCATCACAGCTACGGGTTGGGATTTATTGATTTGATGGAGTTTTTGAATGACACTTATAATGCGAGCTTTACAGACGGAAAGGTATCGGTGCGATCAGCTCCCACATCAGGACCAAGAAATGAGATTGAGATCAGGCATGATCATGACGAGTCAGCGGAATACTCATCACTTAAACGGAAAGCAGGGCATAAAATCATGGAACTCACTGCAATCACATCGGTCCCCTCGACATCCACGCAAACTTCGACCAGCTCATTGATAACAGCGCCCCCTTCACTGTTCAACCGGGCAGCTCTCGCAGAACCCCAGGCCGGGTTTGACTGCAATTCACAGATCGATCAGTTCAAATCTCAAGCTTCACAGCAGAATTCTCAACAGCTATCCCAAGCAACACAACAGTTTTCGCAACAGGTTTCGCAGATATCACAGAAAGCTTCGCAATCTGTTAGTCAAGCTCTCGCTGCCCAAACCTCTGCTCAGATCGCACAATCTTCAGCACAGGCTGCACGATCGTCGGCTCAAGCCGCTGCCGATTTAGCCAATTCTTCTTTATCTTCAATTAAATATCAGCATCATCAGCAGTGGCTGCGGCATCAGCAAGCGCTTCTAGTGCCGCTATGAGTGAGTGAATTTCCACTGGCTATACATGTCTGAGTAATATCAAGCCTAATATGATTGTGATCTTCGACGACTAGAAGAACGTTTGCTTGTAAATAACGCGTGCTGACTATTCATAGGCGCTTCTGCAGTTGTATCTTCGGCTCTTTATCAGCCAGCTCTTCTGTTTCCGTGGCAATTTCTTCAGCGGATGCTTCTGCTAGTGCCGCCAGGGGTATGTCGCTGAATTTCCATCCTAAATCTCGTACCAAAGCATGACTGATATCTTAACTTAGCTACTGCCACATTTGCGATTGCACAGGCTCAAGCTACAATCTCATTAACCAATGTATGGATAATACATCACAGTGACACATGCACTACATATAATTAACAATAAAATTAGTCACAAGCTTCAGCATCAGTACGATCATCACAAGTCCAAGCCATCACAGCAACCCAGGCTGCAATCGCAATTGTGGGCTCCATAATCGGCTCCTCGCTTTATCCATCCTCTTGTATTTCCTCCTATCTAGATATAGAAAACGCAAACAGAACGAAATAGAAAACAACGATTTTCCTGTTAAGAATTACAAAGAACCATTGGCTCTTCCAATCTCAGAACGTAAGCCCATAAGAATATCATACATCATACCGACTCCTCCTCCTGATGCTCGATTCCCGGAAGGAGGCCCTTTCAGTCGGGATAAATTCTGGTCAATGCGAACGTCGAAGACATTGAAGAATTTGGATGAGAGCTCAATGGATGTTCCGCTGGCTTTTGCAGGAGAGAACCGGAACAATCCGCTTTGGAATCAACTTCGAGACCGAGTCTTGGGGGTGCGAAGAGGACATTGGTTTATGACACGGATTTTCCGGATCAGCCTCCCAAATTTGATGATGGAGAAGAACTGGGCAATTTTGGGGATGGGGACAAGAAAGGTGGAGCGAGAAAGAAGGCTTCGATGGGAAGGCTATTTGAGGGATATTGATGGAAGGGGGTCCGGGGCCGGGGGGTCTATCTGTATTGGAGGACAGTTGACATACCTATCCACCCGAGCAACAGCAAGCTGCTGAAGCGCACAGATGGTATGACACTGATAAATCCAGATAAGCTAGTTAGAAGCCCAGGGCCTTCCCCCTAGCGATCTTTGTCCTCGCTGGGAATTGAACGCTTAGTGCTTCGCATTGATCTCAGGCGAAAAATAATACACACATTAGGGGAAGCTTGTAGAATACTGTTTATTTGTACTGTTTGTTTAGTATTCTAAGCCAAGGAAAGAAAAAGAGGAAGAAGAAGAAGAGGAAGAGGAAGATTCTCTAGTAAGAGTACAATATACATATTGGGCAAATAAACGAGGGGTCTAGTCCTAATGAGATGCGCAACGGGAACACGGGGGATTACTCATCGACTGGGCGTCTCTCAACTAAATGATTACATAGTCTCCTTGGAAAGATTTATCTATTAGAACTCAGATTATATATTCATCACTTTACAATTAGTTCTGTAATATATAGAATAATTTATAACTAATATCAAGCGATTAGAATGATTTCGAAGATTATCCTAATCTCTTATTTAAGTTATATTACTCGTAAAAACGATTTAGCGATTCTATATCTTCTTTCTTTCTTTTTAATAGTTTTTCTTCTTAAAACTTAAAATAACTTTCATTTAAGATTAGAATATAAAGCTATAGAACGAGTAGTAATAACTTGGAAACCTAAGATAGCTTAGGAAATATCCTTATGAGATATAAACTCATCGAATTTCCTAAGAGTATAAATTAACTCACATGTATGAATATAGATATCTAGAATATTAGACTGCTATGAATAATTCATTTTAAGCAATAACGACAACCTTAGAAGGTCTCCCGCTAACTAGTTTTAATGATATTAAGTGTATTATATAAGATTATAAAAGATAAAGTACCTCCCTTTCGATGTTATCATTTAACCGTTGTGAATCACGTTATATCATTTGATTATTAAGAATAACTTTAAGTTTAGACGACAACTATAAGACGATTACATGATATATTTCTCCGGATTTACTCGTACTCGCACGTCAGCGGTTATATTTATCGTTCAATTAATTACACTATCAACTACTTTTAGCTCTGTACCGTTACACTTCATTGATCTTGATTCTTCTGAACTATACATAGAGTAGATCATAGAATAATGCCAAATTACCATAAGCTAACTTAACTATATTGTCTTGTAGTGCGGCAGAGGATCTCCGATAATTCGCATAAGGGGGCCCTCACATTTTTTGACGCATTCTACCGACCTAAAGACCTCACTCATCTTCCGGGGCGGAGTTTCCTTGTCAGTGACATAGAAATCAGTCATGGTCCCGGGGTCAAAAATCCAGTATTCACCAGCTCTACCTGCTTTTGGTCCACCTCCAATATAGAAGTGTCGTTCGCTAAATCCCATGTACCAACCCATCGAGTCAACTACTCTTTTCCCGTCCTTCATATTCGACATGACCATTCCAGCCGTTGTACCGACACCTACCATAGTGCCAGCTTGCAACGATTGGGCTGCCAATTTAGCAATAAAATCATCAGCAAAACCCCCCTCGTTTATACTCATCTCCTTCATTTCTCATCCTCAAATCACTTATCGAACCACAGAAGCTGAATAGATGTCGTAAGATAAAACTTACTGTAATAGCCGTCACAGTCCATGCCGGCACTGCAACACTTGAACCGAGTCCCGCTCCTATACCCGCGACACTCGCAAGTACTGTAGCACCCGTCGCAGCTACAAGTGCGCCCCCAGCACCGAGTGTCAAGGCTCCGATTGTAAGTCCTAGAATAGGTAAGATATTATCTTTTTCATCGAATTTGCTCTCGGTTGTTCCGTTGAAGATTTTTGCTTGAATTGTGAAATGAACAGAGCCGACGTGTCGTTTCATAGAGTGGCCGGGAAGGACGTTGTTCTCGTAGTAAAGGGGTCCAACTTGAGTCAAGGCCAAGGAGAGTGGCGGACTTGTTCGATTGTGAATGTAGATGTCCGGCATGATGGCTGTGATGGGTTATCGTGAATTTTGATGGTTTGATGGAGTGCAATCGCGTGGTAAATATATATTCTTCCAAGACAAACCACTACACGACTAATCTCTTCGACCCCTCTTCAGCTCCTACGCTCACACCCCTCCGTTCACTTTGAATCCCAACTCCAATTCCATGATTCTGCAAATTTCAAGGCCCCTCAAGGCTCACAATTTCTGTTTTTCTTTCGAATTCAATAATACATGAGTTGCAAAAGGTATTAATTTTGGTCGTTAGTAATCAATCGAGCTACCCAAAGTTGACAGCTCGCATTCTAGACCCAAGGAAACAGATGAAAACTCATTAGATAAGTTCAGATGGAAAACACACTGAATTGCCCAAGAATCATACTAAAAATTACAAATACAACTCATGGTTCTCGTGTTTCGTCCCATCTCTTGGCATGCCAAATTTCATCTTCACCTCTAATCGTCTTAGTCGAGAGCGTTCATTTCCCATACGCTACATTGATATCTTTCTCGTATCTGTCGAAAATTGCTTTTCGATTGAGTTTCATGGTCGCTGTTACTAGTTTCTGTTTTTGTTGTTCATAGTTAGCATTGTTTGACATACTCTCTCCTCCCCTCTCCCCAAGCAGCCATGCCACCTCATCATATCTTGAATATAAGTTCTGAACTATGGTTCTCTGACACATACGACCATAGACTGAAGAGAATTGGGCATCCCGTCCGCTCTGCCATACACAAGCTTCAGATCGGTGGATTAGTAGTTGGGTGGGTGACCACCAGCGAATCCCCACTGTTGTATGTCTCTTTTGCTTTTTTGCTCTTGCCCCAGATCACAGAGAAATGAAATCAAACTCACATTGACCGTTGTCCATTCTTCATCAGCCAAAACAACACCCTTAATGATCTCCATACCAGCTAGCCCTGCTCTCTTTCCTACAGTCTGCATTTGCTTCAATACTTCTCGATTAATAGATTCATTGTGCACTAAATCACCGATGCCATGACCTTCTACACCGATTGACTCAGCGAGCGTTTTGAGAGCCGGCTCGGCTGGAACGACAATCGCGATAGGATGAGTCTCGGAGATCGAGGCGTAAATGCATATATTCGCTACTATAGTTGCGGATCGATAGACTGATTCTAGCTGTTGCAGAATTAGCATACCAGATACATATGCGTAAAGATTGTGCACTATATATACCTTCTCCAAAGCAATGTACTCTCCGTTCATCGTTTTTACTAGGTTCTTTTTGCGGTCAATGATCTTCAAGTGTCCATTCTTATCCCACTCCCCGATATCCCCAGTTTTGAACCATCCATCTGAGGTAAGTGCTTCGGCTGTCTCGACAACATTATCATAGTATTCGGACATGACGCTAGGCCCTCGAATCCAGATTTCTCCTTGTGGAGGAGTGTTAGTAGCGAAGTATCCCGCGTCGGGAAAGTCGACGAGTTTTATCTCGATACAGGCAGGGATATCACCAGCTTGGAGGGTAAAGGAAAGGGGGTCGCATATTGCGCCCATGCTGATGGGTTGTTAGTATACTCGGTTTTAAAATATAATTGGACGGGAGTAACCAACGCGGCAGTCTCTGTGGATCCATACCCAGATATCATGGGTGTGATGGTGTGAGAGATGAATTCTTGGGTTTGTTGAGATATGGGACCAGCACCATTCATGCAGAATCTCAACCGTCCACCAGTCGCTTGTTTGACTTTGTTGAATACAACAGTATCCAAAATACTGGTTCCGGGTAGGCCGCTTGAGGATAGCAAACGTTTCGAGTAGAAAGCACTCCAGAACAAGCTACGGACAACTGGACCACCTTTGTTACATTGGCAATTACACCTTTTTTGACAGTCTCCCAAACGGATGGTACGCCCACTAGAAGTGTGGGTTTCAATTCGAGGATATCAACTTTGCAATTCTTCATGGAGGTTTCGGAAAGAGTTCGGGGATGGCCATAACCCATTAGGGCACCCCAGTAGAGACATGCGTTTTCAAATACGAATTCGAAGATATGAGCGAGGGGAAGGTATGCTAACAGTGTATCCGAGGGACCTAGATAGTCGCCAACAATACTATTTGCTCCAGCAACTATAAAGATGTTAGTTTAGAGGGCGACAGAAAACTAGAATACTAACTGGCAGCCACAACGTTTTTATGCTTCAGCGAGACCCCTTTTGGTGTACCACTTGATCCAGATGTGTACATAATGCAACATAGATCTTCGGGTTTAGGCGGCACAACTTCGACGGGATGTAAATGTCCCAAATCTATGAGCTCATCATAGCTCAAGAGCGTCAGGTGACTGTGGCTCTTCTTCAATTCTTTGATACTAGACAATGAGAGTTCTGTATCACCGTCTGTGTTATATATCACGTATTCGATGTGCTTCAAGTCTTCAAGAGAATCAAGTAGAGTTCTCAGAAGTTGTGGTTCTAAGAATATAGCCTTAGCTTTCGTTTGTATGAGAGAATGACGGAGTCCTTCGACACCAAGAGTATCGTATGCAGTGACGATAGGCATGGATTGAGACATGGAACCATGGGCAATTGACAGCCAGTGGGCGCTAGATTCAGTATAAGCTTGGATATTTGATAGTCTATAATATGAACGATTACCTTGTTGTGGCAAAGAGATGAACCGATCATCCTTAACCAATCCAAGTTTCCTCAAAACCCGATCCTACACTCAATACCGTAGCTTCATACTCCTTGAAACTTAGATATTCATACCCACTCATCTCAAAATAAGTCCATACTTTATCTACCTCCTGTGCTTGTCCATTGATGATCTTCTTTATCTTTTTCGTCTCCTCATGTTTCTTAATAAGTTTTCTAGACCCCAGCGCTCGTGCAATCGCCAAAACGACGAGAGCTCTGTTGTATGATATCGAACACAGTCTCGATGCCCGATTCTGGTTGGGAAAGAAGGTCTGGATATCGAACGTTACGACGAGGGATAGTTTCACCCGAAACCTGTGGGATCCCTTGTACTTCTGCTGTGAAGGGAGGTTTTCTCGACATTCGGGGGGAGAAACTCGTAGATTTAGTCTTCATCTCGGTTTGGGAAGACATAGTGAGATTTGATAGCATATAGAAATCAACGTTTGACAGTAGATTTTTTGGATTAAAAGAAAGAACTTAGAACAGGAAGATAGCACTGATGAAGGGAACAGTTTGATATTCAATAGTATTACATTCCAAGATCTCAACCAATTTTCAGCCACCCAAACCCCTTCAATCAATGGGAATGTGACTGATGTTCTCATGGCTTTGGTGACAAGCCGAGGCTTTTCCTTGCACCTCATTCCTTTGTTGAGTTGATTGACATAAAATCACGGAGGGAGGTGTTAGGCCGCCTCCGACTTGAAGGCCTTGTCATCTTTCTCGAGAGCGAATAATCATTGATTAATTAATACCAGACAGTCTGAAATGATTGCTGATCGTTGGTGACAGATTATAATATTATAATGAGAGTGTGAATGGTATCATCATTTGACGTTGAACTTTAGATAAAATATTATGTAGACAAGTTTTATTGATGTTTGGTAAAGAGAGGAGAGAAACATCCTAATAAGACGGGGTGAAGGCGCGCTAGGCCATATTGACACTAGAATGACTAAAGGATCCCCCTAATAGCGAAAGACCGTACAGCGAATGCGATATGCAACAAAATTCAAAATATTGACCAAGGTCACATTACAATCACGTGTATCCGTGTGAATAGCTGGCCCAGGTTAGTCAATTTTGTGATAGATGCTCACCGGGAGTTACAAAAACTCGCACTTTAATATAGTGGGCACCGCTCCGCATTCAAAGTACCATCTATCCACGCTTGTGCGAAAATTTTCTCCACTCGAAGTTGCTTGAATGAATGCAAAATTATTAAAATGAAAAGTCGATGTACCAGTAGCAGTATGGCGTCTTTTGGTTAGAATCCATAAGCAGATTTAGAATGTCTGCAAGCCCTACTATAAAAGCCTACAAGAACAAAAGGCAAAAATGTATCGACGTCGGCATGATTCGAACATGCGCCCCCGAAAGGAATTGATTTCTAGTCAATCACGTTAACCACTCCGTCACGACGCCTGCTTGATTACATAAAGTTGCTGGAACGTAAGTAAATATATAAAGTTGCAAAACTACCAGGTAACATTGAATTCGTTAGATCTCCATCAGCCAATGTGCGAAGGGATTTGCAGAGCATCAAGCAATCTACCAAAACATGATTCTCGGCTTCACCCCTAAAAGGAACGACGATCCTCTTTCAATATCAAATGGCTCACTGCATTTAAGCATCTAGGCATTACAGACGACATCCAGCGAACGATCTCTCTCGCAGATGAACTTTTCTATCAACGGAGCTGTTGGCTGCGTAAGATACAAATATGTCCATACGGATAATAATTCGCTGTGGGAGATTTGCACACTGATTAAATTAACCAGAATTAGAAAGTCCCTCTGACAAACAATAGACAGAAAAGAACACGCGACTAGTTGTCTTAGTATTTTGGTATTGATACCGGCTTTGCCCAAGTCACTGGAGTTTCGAAGTTGACATCCATCAACTTTCCAACATTTACAATTGAAGTGAGAGCATCTGCCTTCAAACTCGATACATAAATTCCAAGTCTATTACTGGCTACTGGTGCGGCTACACAGCTGCGCGGTGAATATCGCCAGGAGGTACATACATAATCCCGATGCTTGAGCATTCAAACCCACGTCGGCCCCGCACCAACGTTCATGCTCTCTTGCCGTTCTCGACTGCATGATGCATCGAGATGGCGAGACCGGCCGGTAAGCACTGAGAAGACGGCTGAACATGCAATGCGATATCCGGCCTTCTCGGGATATTGCATGGGGGCGTATCACAGAGCAGGGGCTGAGTGAGTGCTACAACAGCAATAGATTCTATAAATTCAAAATTGACAGTAATATTAAATGTGCAGCTACTTCAAATACGTTCTATTCATTCGATGATAGCTATTCAGTAGGCAATACAAAAACTGCGGAACGAGTTTCCTTGGAAGATTGCACCCTCCTTCTTGTTTCCTTTCCCCTTTCCCCCTCCGCATGGATTGGAAGCTTGTTGGCTATCCCTCAATACCCGAGACACCGGGTGATAATCTAGACATTTTCCGGCTGAACCGGTTGGAACATATTTTACCGGTCTGCCTTTCTCTATTCAGATTAAATCAAATCAAATCAAATCACCTGTTAAAGAAAAGTTATTGAAAACAATTCGAGGTGTGTTTGTGTGTCTGCGTATTGACACGACCCCCTTTTACTGATATAGTCAACAAATAACTCGCTCGGGTTGATCATTACCTATCTTATCGGATAGTTAGAATTTATAGTTTTGAACTCATCCATCTATCCATCCACGATCCATCCATTCCACCCCCATCGATATTTTCCGCCCCTCGGCCCCTCTCATCTCAACAAGGACGGGTGGACATTCGCATTTCGGTATTTGTTGTCTCCCGTAGAATTCTTAGTGTCTTCTCCACCTTCACTTCCGACAAAAATAACATAACACGATCAAATTGGCGACAACAATCCTTTACTCGACATGTCAAGCCGAAAGAGAATATCGCAAGCTTGTAAACCATGTGGCATTAAGAAAATAAAGGTAGAATCCTACTGTCTACAGTGCAGTGTACACGCGAGAATGAATCTAGCCATTGACTAGCCAATTCACAGTGTGATGGCGGGGCTCCCGTGTGCGGTCCTTGCCTGAAGAGAAACGGAGAATGTTCCTATGGTATATCAAAACGTGGGCATTTTCCCCGGAAATTCAATGATGATGGAAGGTGCGTAATTAAGTGAATGATCTGTAATCCCTTGATACCTACTTATTGGAATATATCAGCCCAAACACTGCCGGTCGTGAAAACTCATCTAACCCATCGCCTGTTCAACAACCATTAGGTGGTAGCCGCCTCCCTATTACGTGCTCTGATACACCACTCATTCTCCCAGGCTCTGTTAGGCCATCTTTAGGTTATACCCATAGCTCATCGTCGCAAAAAAAAGATGCCGGACCAAAGAAATATCCTTTCAATGCTGAGGTAACGAAGCGTTTGTTTCAAACTTACTTCGATTGTATCCATCCAATGTGGCCGATTCTGTACAAACCAATGTACACTTCATTCGATTATACGTACCCTTCACCAAGTATCCCAAATGTCTTAGCATGTGCAATGTTCGCTATGGCGGCTTGTGTAGAAAAGCTTCAACCTTCTCCGCAGCCATTCGATGACCCGCACGTTATGGGATCTGAAGAGCCTCGCTTTTATTTCGAGGAGTCCCTGAACTTGCTACAAAGAGGCAATGATACCAGCGATAAATCTTTGAAGAACGCTTTCACTCCCTCAATCGTAAATTGCCAAACATTGATAATCCTTTCACTGCAGCAACATGGAGTAGCTGAATATTCCAGAGCGGCGATTTTCTGTGGACTTGCGTCATCAATGGCTATCGAGTTACGCTTGCATAGACCTCACGAAGCGCATGGCCCACAGCGTGAAATTCGCCATCGTCTCTGGTGGAATCTATACATCCTCGAGAAGATGATTTCTTGTGAAATGGGGAGACCAGTGATGCTTAGAGTCGAGGAAACTGACACTCCATATCCCTCTACATCCGAAGCGGATGAATTTGAACTGCTTCCTAGTAGAATGAAGGGACAGAATACGACTAATATACATAGTGTTGGCAAGATGCATACACTGTCAGTCCTTGTGACGACTATTCAACTTTCGGTCGTAATGGAAAGACTTTCGAGAGAGGTGTATGGATTGATAAGTCGGAGAGCAATCCGGGATGACCGAAGTTTTGGTGAAGGAAAACGCATGGAATTATGGTCTTCTTTTCAAAAGTGGGAGAGTGATACTGAAGCTTCTCCCTTACGCTTAGATTTGAGCAGTCATTTGACATCAGTCCCTGGTATCGTTACTAACTATGTTGTAAGTGTGCAATCTATTGATGTCTGGTTTTTGCTCATTGAATCTAGATTATGCACTCAGGGGTGATTCTTTTACATCGCCCTTTCATTGCTCGATGGATATCAAACCCTGCAAATGCCAATGCTCCAGCGCACCCACTCAAGATTTGCCTAAATAGTGCGAATGCAATTTGCACTATCTTAGAGAAGTACTTTGATGTTTTTTATGGCCTACCATGTGACATGGTATTTAGTATTTTTACAGCTGCAAGCACGCTTTTATATCAATCAAAGCAACCAGACGGAGGTGATAATGCAGAATTACAACGTCGTCTTAAGTTGTGTATTCACTGGCTTTCTGTTCTTGGGAGAAGTTGGAATAGTGCTGGAGCTCGTCAACAGCTTTTGGTAGATTGTAAGTCCTTGATTCTGCAATTCACAAATTTGTGGCTAATTTTGAAGTATCAGCAATGCCACGAGATGTTAATATGACGACCCTGGTTAATGCAGCCGCTGCTGTCGATGCTCAAGAGTCAACATCCTCGCAGCTTCTATCTGAGCAGGAATCAATGTATGCCCGACACTCGACAGCAGACAATACTCCTGGCACAGCGAAACCTGGAGCAGCAGAGGACTGGGAATTCTTGAGAGGATTTGGAGATTCATCTGATGAATTTTATATTCTAGATGAAGAACTTCGAGTTTTACTTGAGAGTGATCAGCAGTGGAATCTCTAAGTCACATAGCTCAATTCGTTAAAACGATATCATTACGCTTATCAGCCTCGGTTCTAAAATTCTACCACCTCTACATTTCAATAATTCCGATAGGTCCATTATATTCCCGTCTTCCAAAGCAGAAATAGAATATCGCACCGAAAAACAACCATCCACCCATGACAACCACGCTGTAATTCATGTTCTGTGCGGTGACAGGTTGCACACTTGGAAATGTGCAGAATACTATCGCCACGAGAAGCCAAACAACAGCAATAACATTGACTATCAATCCCAATGTGTCACCTAACCTGAATGGTCCATATTGGCTTCTCCTGATATTCTTTCTACCATAGATTATCATGTAGATAATTGGCACAAGATAGGAAGCATACATTCCCAGAACGGAC